ACGATCTACCTATAGATGTTTTACCTCTTCATCATTGGCGTCTTTTCACATCATCGATGACCCTTACTCTCCTTGCGATAATCCTTCTGTACCAATGATAACAAATTTCCTTACTCGTGAGGGTGACTCCTAGTGTGACTGGCACATACAGTCCCTTAAGCTTAACTTTGATCACATTGCTTATTTTAGGGAAGTGTCTTCCTAAATAACCTTTAAAGGTTATTCTTCTGTCGTCCATTCTTTTATCGCCGGAACGAAATCTGAAATTCTCATGATGTCAACCATTATCAAACTACTCAATCCCTAATTCATGTTTAGTTTATCTTGCTCACCAGCCTATACTGATTTCTATTATTCTGGGGTCTAACTTTTCCTTATGGTAGTCGCGTTGGAGTCACGAACTTATTTCTCGAAATGAGGATATGACTGTATGGCCTATACTATTTTGTGGTCTCAAGGCCTGTCACCTCTCGTATTTTCCTTCACTTAACTATAGACTCTATAATACTGTCATCCTATTTTTGATCTACCGTTGTCATCCATGTATCACATCTTACTCATAATGCTTCCTTAACTCTCTTCTTATTTTCCTGCTAACATTTCTGTCTATCACTTTATTCTAAAAACTCGAACAAGACATTCTTTTATTTTTAGCTCCCCTTGCTCCATCTACTGGCTCTTCGGGTTGCCTAACATTCTTTCTCTACTAGGGACGGAAGCCACACTAAGGTAATATTTATCCCTTCCAGGATTCCAGTACCTGTCTTTGTAAAAAAAATTTGAACACTCTAGTATTCATATCTAGCTGTACTATTCTAGAATGCACCATCTGGATGTCTCACAAGGAGAATTATTACCACGTTTGTAATATCCTTCGAAAATGTCAGCTAACGCTAACAATCCATCCAACATTTAGGGTTACTTTAACCCCCAACTGGATCCTGATATCCCGTCCTTTTCTTAAACTATATCTGTTGGCTCCCATGGAGCATAACTGAGATAGGTGTGACTAATTGCACATACCCCTGTTACAATTGAAGGTAACTCAAAATGCTTATATTTCTCTGCTTGAATTGTAAATACAATTAATCTTCATTAACTGGGTACCTCGTACCCTTCTTCACCTTGCTTCTTTTATTTATTGAAACTTGTACCTTCTGATTCTCTCGTTGCCTTTCACCANCCATATGGGGGGGGGGGGATAGATATTCTTACCTCAAGGCTCCTTATCAAGAAGCTTACATGCCTTAGTACACACACGTCCTGCTGAAGACCTCATATTAATTCATCATAAGCATGATGCAAAATCGAGTTCCTCTGACCTAACTCTTTCACAGCTACATTCAATCTCTTACCAACTGTCTTTTGGAAGTAGGTATCGTCTTATTACGAATAAAATAAAATTTAGGAGTTTAAATTCTTACAACTAAGCTCTACCACACGATCTAGAGTAAGAATAAAGAGTAACAGTCCTAAATGCTCTGTAGCCTCCTACTTATAAGTGTGGTGCACAACACACCCATAAACAAGACTCTACTAGACACGACTTGTAGACTCCCTAGGACAGAACTGCTCTAATACCACTTTTGTCATGACCCAAACCGTTGGGCCGCGACGTGCACACGGTACCTTACTCAACCGAGTACCAACATAACGTATATTTTCGTATCATGCTATCATAAGTAAATTAGACGGAAATGATGCCGTAGGATAACTAGAATAAAACATGTAATACCAACTTATACATAAGACATACGGGCCTATAAGACCAAAATTATCACCCGTACACTCAACATAGGCCGACAAGGCCATACAATCTTTTACGTACATGATATATGTCTACAAGCTTCTAAGAATATATAATTGTCATAAAGGTCGGGACAGATCCCCGGCATACCAATCAATATATATCCTAATCATACTGACCAAATAGCAACTTCGGAGCAAATGGAGCGCACCAACATCTTCCGCTGAGCTGATATCCTACTTAGAGGACTCTCAACATGTCTATCGGACCTGCGGGCATGAAACACAACGTCCCCAGGCAAAAGGGACGTTAGTACAAATAATGTACCAAGTATGTAAGGAATGAAAATCAGTAAATAATAGACATGAGCGAAACATGGAGTAAAAGACTCCACATGTAAGTCTGAATAACTCTGTGAATTATTAATACTTATAATGTCATGCATATGCGTATAAATATCATACCATGCATAGGTATATGCGTTCATAACCTCATCAAGCCTCTGAGGGCATCCCATCATATCATATCGGCCACTGTGCGCAAAATCATCAACGTATACCAGCTGATCAGGTGATGGTGTGTATATAACGTCGTAACCTTTTTCCATATCTCATATACATATATATACATATATACGCATATATAACGCCATCTGGTCATGGGTCAATGTATATGTATAAATGAATGCAATGCATGAGAAGTACGTCAATAAAATCTTTCGGAATGTCATAAGACCATTATGCCTTTGATTAATGTCATGAAGTAAACTTTATCAACTTACGTAATTTCTGAGACCCATGAACAGATGATAGAATAATAGGACACATGGGGAATCAAGAATATGGACATCTCTAGTATTTCTATAAATAGAGTTATTTATGAAAATTGTGCATTTGCTCGTTTCGTTTGTATCGTATGGATCATGCCAAAAAGAAAGAAGGGATAGCCTTAACATACCTGAGCCGGTTCTCTTACAAATCCCTTTAATACACGTCTTTGCGAAAAAACACGTAATGCCGGATCGAAGTAGGAAAAAATCCTTATGATGTTCTTGATATCATAGCACGTTATTTCTTATCTGACTAATATTCACTCCATACTCTTCATCATCAAACAATTTCTTTCGTCCTTCTTCTGTAATGTATTCCCAAAATTCCTTCAAGTTCATTACCAATAATGAAACCAAGACAAAGAAAATTGTCCAAAGACAACTTATGTGTTATTCCTCCAACGTGTAAACAAGGCAATTTAGGTGTTATGACTCATCATGCACCTTGGTGCCACCAAGTTACATGACTTTAAGAGTCATTAACTTGGGCTTCAATCTTGCTGCCACGTGAGGTTCTTTAATTTATCTAAAAATTTTAATTAATCTCCCGCTAAAAATTATTAATTACCCAATTATCCACATAATTAAGTATTATCTCAAATTACTTTAAAATGCTACTCACTTTTAACATACTTTATGTATTCTATCATCGTGGTCATGGGGTACCTTGTATGGTACTAGTCCATAAATATGAGGTATACTAGCTCAGACTGTGTTTTATCCCAAATTGTCAAACGTCGACGAAATTTATTTTCTTCGATTCGCTTACCCTCTCATCATCACGAATTTACTTATCACTTGTTTGAAATAGCATAATACTTATAATCTCCAAATAATCTTGTCCTTGAACTGATGTCAATTATCTTACGATAAATTCAACGTACAATACTACAGGGTGTAACATCATCGTAATATAATACTGAGGGGCATAACAGAAATAATTGGTGAAGTAGTTACCTCTGTATGTTGAACAACAGGTGGAGTAACAACCTCTATAGGTGTTGCTGCTTTAACTTGCCATTCCTGTCTACTTTGTTTCCCCATGATATGGCCTTTCTTTTGAGGTGCTTTCACATCCTTTTGTTGAGTTGTCTTTTAGTAGGGCAACTTCCAGCCTTGTGTCCAAATTGTAAGCAATCCTCACAGAGTATGGGCCTCCATTTATAGTCAATTTTTTGTTCCCAGATACTGCCATCCGCTCTTTCAATGTTCAAATAGTCTGGGAGTGGTTGAGCAATATCCATTTCTATCAACATTCTAGCATAGGAAACTCTGTCTCCTTTGGCCTGTTAAACTGTTAGTACAAACAGGTTTACCCAGGGAACTTGCTATCCTTCCTAGATTTTTCTCAGACCAGTAAAGAAGTGGTAGGCCTGGGAAGCACACCCATATTGGTAGTACTCTCAGAGGCTCCTTCTTCAGCTGAGAATCAGCTTCCCATTGCTTTAGAATCATTGGCCTATTTCGAAAGGTATAGGGTCCATTTTGCAGAATTACTTTTTAATCCTCTTCAGATTCAAAGCCAAATATGAAGTACCCATCATCATGCAAAAAGACCCTAGGGGTTGAGACGAAATGCCAAACCCTATAGACAAATTGAAACATCTCATTGAACGTTGGAGCACCTCCTATAACATACCCAATAAGCGCACAATTCCACTTTTGCTTCTGACATTCTATCTCATGGTGATTTAATTGCACTACTCTCCCGGAATTTAGCTGGCCAACTGGATTGGGATTAGGGCTTGGGACTCCCCTGTTTCAGAAAAGATTTGCCTACTTTTCATGTCGCCATTACAGTTTCTTATGCTCAATTGCAGTGTCGTCTCGTTTGGGTTGGCTTTAGGGCTTTTTTGGGTTTTATCGATCGAAAGGTTTTGTGCATCCAGATCTTCCCTCACAGATTTGGGACTGATAATGGTAGGAGCTATTAGTGAATCTGGTTTGGTACGCGTAGAAGTAGAAGCTTGAGGAGCCTTCCATTTCCGGCGAGGCATGGTGGTGGCGGCGTGCACATTACCAAGACGGGTCTAACGTGCACCTTGGGACTTTCTCTCACCTATCTCCTCAAACCGTCCTTTTAATTAATTAACTAATCTTTAAATACATTACGGTGGGCATAAAAGTGATTAATGATGCAGTTCACCCAAGTTTCGTCTAGACGTATTAACCCAAATAGCCGCTCACTCTATCACTTAAATTAAAAATAGATGGTGAATGTGTAATATATACATAATTTATATATTACATATGTATAATTATATATAATTAATGTATAATTTATTTATATGACTAAAAAAAATAAATAATTAATATGAACGGCTATATTTATAAAAATCCCTTTCGACTATTCTTTAACGTTGGCCCAAATACATTAGTAGCATTGTCTCTTTCGCAAATGTTAAGAGCAACACAAAAATCTCCAACTGACGCGTGTATCTCACGCTCCACATGTCCGTTCCCTTAACGCTCAAGCCTTCTCGTTGACCCCTTTACCATGTTCATACATATACCAAAATATCTGCACCCCAAATTTTCACTCTAAATTCAGAAAACCCTAATAATGACCCCTAAATTATCTTCAATTCTCCTGGTTAGTCAATGATCAATTTCATTAATTCGCTCTAAATTGAAGAAAGTTTATGGATTTATGGGTAATCAGGGCGAAGAAATGTCATTGACAATCTACAAAAGTTCAAATTTTACCGGAGGTTGTTTAGAAATCCGATTATTCTACGTACGGATCACGCCATGTTCTGTAGAAGCCGTACCGGACCACCTCGTACTCCGCCACCTCCGGCGCGAGATGGGAGTGTCGTTAGAGATCAACGGCTCTCGTGTTCCCGCCACCGACACCGCGTTCGTCACCCTCCGTCGCGATCGCGTCGACAAGGAGTCCTCCGAGGTGACGTACGTGAGCACCGACAGCGTTAGGGTTTCGGACCCGGTGGAATTTGAGGTATACGAAAGTGAAAGGGATTTAATACTTTGTGGATCGTTGGAGAGAGTGGAGACGGGTTGGGCTAATGGTAATGGGATCGAGAATAATTCGAGGACTGGTTGGAGCATGGATTGTTATACAGCTGCGTCATTTGGGAATGAAGGATCGGCTTTTGTTCAGCCTAAGTTTGGGGTTTATTCGCCGTCAATTGAGGTTTATATAGCGGGTTGTTGTTCGGGTGTACCTGTGATTTTAACTAAGACAATTCAGGTTAGCCCGAGAAGGAAGGTACCTAGGCAGGGGATGTTGGACGCAATTCCTGAGGATGGGGAGGTTGAGAAGGAGCATGGGGGCTCAAATGGATTCATTCGACAGAGAAACCTACCGGTAATGCAATTATGACCTTTACCTTTACCGTGATTAGAAGGAATAGAGGGATAAATTAGCTTTTTGTGTGTCAATGGTGTTGGTTAGGTTCTTTTTGGTTGAAGCAGTGTCTTGAAAAGCACAATTCATGACATTTAATAACTATAAAACTTATACTCCCTCCGTTTCAATATATGTGAACCCATTTGACTTGGCACGGAGTTTAAGAAAATATAGAATACTTTTAAACTTGTGGTGTAAAATGAGGCACATATATTTTCTGTGGCTATAAATTATTGCATAAAGTTAAATTATTTCCAAATAGGGAAAGAGGTCATTCTTTTTGGCACGAACTAAAAAGGAAATAAGTTCACATAAATTGAAACGGAGGGAGTATGAATTTAGTACTATAATGATCAAATATCAATTAAAATAACTAATTTCAATATTTAATATACAATATAATAATCCAACTCCTCAAAGTTGAGATTCAAAGAATCGACTGCTTCCCGTTGGGATCACTTTGCGCATCATGGTATGAAGTGTATGGCTTCCCCCTCAAAGCGATAACCCCTTGCTTGGCATCGCTTCATCCCTTTAAGCGATGAAGCAATGGTTTTTAATAACACTGGGATGAAGTGCATCGTAGAGTGTGGCTATCTGAGGTTCAAATCCCAACGGATGCAAAAAATACTAGGTGATTTCTTCGCATCTGCCTAAGCCTTGTTACTCTGAACCTGTATTGGTGGGAGATGGTGGGAGGTAGCAGATAATCAGTGGAATAGTCGACGTGCGTGCAAGTTGGCCAAAACATCGCTCTTATCAAAAAAGAAAAAAAACTGAGATGAAGTAAATGATTTCATTAATGTGGGAAAGTTCCCATGTACAAGAAGTATACGATTAGATGAAGTAATAAATAATTTCATTAACATTGGTGAAATTTCCGTACACAAGAAGTATATCAAAAAGTAGAGAACTTACAAAAATTTGTTGGATAATTGTGTTGGCTAGGTTCTTAAATTGTTATTGTGCTTTATCCTGGGTGACTAAGATTTAGTAATGTAGCAATTTTTGTATGATGCTAGCATAGAGTTATACAGAACCTTTAGTAGGAAACAACTTAATCACAGATTGTGTGCCCAAAAGATTGATCCTTTGTGCTGAACACCCATAACGTCAGTCTCAATTTGGAACATGGCTTTTTGAAGTAGACCCAAAACAAGAAAAAGAAGGTTGTTGCATTAACTTCTAGTTTCTGCCAGCAACACCTTTGATTGATAGCTCCTCGACGAAATTGAGTAACTATCACGGTATCTTGTTGAACATTTTTTGGTACTACTGTACAAGTCACCAGCTTAGGAGTTAGGTCTCATCATTTACTTTCACTTGCTATATGACTAAGGGTGGCAAGTGGGCCGGTCCAAACGGTCCCGGGCTGGTCCCAAATTAAACGGGCTAAACGGTCCCGGGCTAAGTGGTCTTTTTGTAGGGACCGGCCCGGGACCGGCACCGTTTGGTCCCGGGTTAAACAGTCCCGGTCCGCGGGCTAAATGGGCTAAGTGGGCCCAATGGATTTAAAAAAAAAAAAAATTAAATAGATATTAGAGACAAAAGGATGCTAAAAAAAATATCTAAGGCATGCTTTGTAAATTTTATTATAAAATTGTGACCTAAATTTTATTTGAACATCCTAAATTTTAATATTCAATATTTAATTACGAATATAGCTTATATAAATATATACACTATACTATACTATATATACATCTTATATCGAATATAACTTATATATATACTATACTATACGTACATCTTATATAGCTTATATACTATACACTTAGTGTATATTTATATATATATATATATATAGCTTATATATTATACATTTAATATATATATATATATCAGATGTATATATATTATACAAGATCAAGTGGCGGGCGGTAATCCGCACGGCCTTCTCAACTGAGCTAAAACAGAGATCACCGATTGATCGGGAACTGGAATTGTTTCACACCTCTGCTAACTATTATATGTCCACCGAGGTTTCCACCAGTTAAAGATCTCTATTTTAACACGATCGATAGTTCTTAATCTAGCTAATTCAGTATCTTTATGTTTAAAGACGGGCGGTAATCCGCACAATCAGTAAGAATATAAGAATCGAAATATGCTTGAATTTTTTATATATTTTGATGACTGTATGGAAGGTTAAACCTTTTACTCAAGCAAGAGGTCTGTCCTAATATAATACATACTCTCATTGAGCCCATTTGTCTAGCAGTTCTAACCGTGAAAGAAGATACCCTTTTCAACGGGCTAAGGTTCACGGCTGGCCAGACGGAGCCACTAAGGCAAAGCCAATAAGAGTAGTGCTATATTAGACTGTACCAACCATCTCGAAACCAAGTCAAGAAATTATATATAAAATTCATTTATATTTTGATAGATGCCGTCTCTTTCATGGTTTATATAGGAAAGAAGTTAGATATTCAACATAGATATGAAGTCTCTTAGCCGGACATAGTCACGACCAGAGAGAAGAGACTAGATGAAATACTAATAAACAACAAAATAAATACCTTTTGGCCGGGATGCAAGGCCTGAAGATGAAGAACTCGAAACTTTATTTACTTTGTTCTTCGATTACAGAGAGTAGTACTTACAATTGAGAGAGAGAGAGTTTAGAGAGGGGGGTTTGGCTTCTGCCTTCTTTCTCTGAAAGAATGAATCGTTTAAATAGAAAAGAAAAAGAATCTATGAACAGTAAAATAGGGTCCCACATGGGTCCCTGTACAATGTTTTTACTGTGCAAACAGTGTTTCTACTGTTGATGAACAGTATTTCTACTGTGCAAACAGTTTTCTACTGTTGATGAACAGTGTTTCTACTGTTGAAACAGTTTATCTACTGTTGAATGGGATCCGGTGGCTGGGTCCGGCGGCTTCACTGTTCTGGTCGCTTTTCCATCTCTTTCATTTTGCGGAGGAATTCTTCCGCATTTTGTAAGGCTTCATCACATAATATCTTCTCTGATTCAATAGGTTGGGAATCATCTGCGATATCATCGTTGCTGGTCTCACTTTGCATCGAAGTGTCTGATTTCTCATACTGATTGATGGAACGAAGCAAATTTCTTTTTACTTCTTCCAAGTAGTCGTTGATCATTTCTTCTTTGTCCCCTTCTTGAAAGGAGATCTTTCTGGCAATATGCCGAACTGAACTATCATCAACCTTCTTCTTTTGAGGGTTGATGGAATATTCTTGGATTTTTGTTTTGATGGAGTCTAAGAGTTCTTGACCGTATAACGTCTCCGTTTTGGGATCCTTTTTCATTAGTTTATCCCAGAAATTGTTATAAAATGTCCTGTATAAACATGGAATTTGTTCCTCGGTGAATCCAACTTCTGGAGTCCATTTATGAATCCAAGGAATAGAGAATTCCAGAAAGAAATATATCTGGTCAATTTTTTCTAGGTAACAGATATGATCTGTGTGGTATAATTCATTTATAACTGGAGAAAATTTTTGTCCATTCTTTGTATAACATGAGAAATGGATCAGGTAATATCTTTACTGTCGGGCCGTGGTATGACCACCAGTTTAAAACCCAATTTGGAATGGGCTATGCAAATATCTTTGCACATACTTTTACGAACCAAGTATGCTTGTATCGATCATTATTGTAGTAGAGCACTTTATCAAAGGCCTGGATATAATCCCAATAGGTAAAATTCACACGGGACTTGTTAAGGCTTATCTGCCTTTCTTTCATCGTGGATATACCCCAATCTTCAACAGATATAATCTGTTTGATTATGATCTTTGAGAAGTTATAAACATTCTCGTCTGTGCTATAACCAGAAAAGTGCTGAAATTCTGCACTGCCAGTACTGGTGAGTATAGTTTCATAATGAGAACGGGTTTTGTATGACTCACCTGGATAATACAATCCATTTATCAAATACCTTTGGAATATCTTCCATGGTTCTTCTTTTCTCTGAATATCAAAATTTTCTAAAAGAAATATCATTTCTTTTTTAGGCAATTTCTCATAGGACTTGATATCATCATTGTTCTCTTTTGTAATAGAAGCAAAAATATCACTTTGCTTTTGAGTAGTCAAATATGCCTGCAAGTGTGCGTAGAACGGACTATCTTCTGGAATATCTTCCAGGTGAATGGATGGTCCTATCATCGAGGACTCGCCTGTGAGAGATATTTTCTCATTAGTCAAACTTTTTCTTCATATTTATATAACTGGGGAGTTTGATGTGGATCCGTATGACAATCCTGAAGGGGATGTTCTTCCTTTGGAATGTGGGGATGATCTTCCCCATCCTCTGCCTCTACCCCATGGGGGTTCCATCCTGCAAATATTCACGAGATAAGAAATCCGGCAGAGAATTATCAATTCCCTTTTTGTATTGAATTTCAAAATCAAAATGGGCCAATTGAGCCTGCCATCTTGCGAATATCATTTTTGAGGCATCATGTTTAAAATCTTTGTTAAACATATATTTAACAGATTGTGCGTCAGTTTTTATCAAAAACTTTTGATTGTATAAATCATCTTGGAATTTTAAAACACACTTAACTATGATTAACATTTCATGAGCCACAGTAGCGTATTTTCTCTGGGCTTCAGACCATTTTCCAGAGTAAAATCTAATCAAATATTCATGCTTATTATTAGGATTTATCTGTTTCAAAATCCCTCCGTAACCAATATTGGATGCATCAGTAGAAACACTGTTTGCACAGTAGAAACACTGTACAGGGACCTATGTGGGACCCTATTTTACTGTTCATAGATTCTTTTTCTTTTCTATTTAAACGATTCATTCTTTCAGAGAAAGGAGGCAGAAGCCAAACCCCTCTCTCTAAACTCTCTCTCTCTCTCAATTGTAAGTACTACTCTATGTAATCGAAAAACAAAGTAAATAAAGTTTCGAGTTCTTCATCTTCAGGCCTTGCATCCCGGCCAAAAGGTATTTATTTTGTTGTTTATTAGTATTTCA